CAAATACACGCTATAATAGCACTTTATATAATAAATATGTAGATTTCACAAATTACATGGCTGTTGTTTCAGAAGGCAAATATTATTAATGTACCAGTGTCTTTAAATGTCTCTGACTTAAGTGGTGATGTCACAAATGTTAATAAAATGCAATTTACGTTTAGCAATATGTTCATACAGCGAAATTAGTAAGACATTATGGATTAATTGAAATGGTGTATTAGGCAACACATTATGATTGCAATGACAAGATGTGTTAGGCAACATATAATGGCTGAAGTAATATGACGTACTAGGCAACACATAATGATTGAAAAGACATGATGTGTTAGGCAACATAATTATAATGGCTGAAATGACATGATTTTTTAAGCAACACATGGTGATTGAAATGACATGATGTGTTAGGCAATGAGGAATATTTGCCAGGATGTTTACCTTAGCGTATTTTCCATCGATTTTCAACTATCGAGTTATCTTTATCGTCCATAGTCTGAAGCACAAGAAGCCTGTTTATTGTTTCTCCAGACCCATATGTCATGTATGAACTTTCGCTCCGCATCACTGACTAAGCTAATCGGGTTGAAAATCTCGACCAGAGCCGGAAATAGGAAGAATCAGAATACAGGACTTTCTTTGTGGTTAATTTGTTTAACATTGTTTAATAATCTTCATTAATTAGAGAAGGAAATATGTTCTAAAGGATAAGAAAATATTACGGCACATGTTGACATGGCTGGTATATATTAAGACGTCGAATGAGCCTTTTTGATCTGCCAGATCTCCACAGGATCTTAACATTAGGCCTAGGATAAAGAACGAATCAGTAAATTTGATATCAATAAAGGCCGGATAGAGTGAATTTGACGAACTGATTGAATTTCTAGATTAAAACATTATGCATCTTTAGAATCAATAAATGTGGTTGTATTAAAGGACGTGGCATGATTTTCATGAATGGCAGGAACAGGTTGGACACCCGTTCGACCAATGTCAGTAATAGTGTGTTTAGCTCACTACCGAAATTTGAGTCTTCAGATCCACACGTGTCCAGAATTACCGCTGTTTTAAAATTAAAAAGGTAGATTAGTCTTTTCTGTAGACTCTCTCATGAAACAAGAAACAGATAGTGAAATTCTAGAAATCTGTCCCTTTTTAAGAATGATCGAAATGTTAAAAAGAAATTGTTAAAAAGTAAATTTTCTTGGGTTATTTCTGTGGAGAGAAGCTTACTTCTCGCCGATCTATAATAATAATACTTCAGTATGAGAGCAGATGAAATAATATATCTTTCTGATAAGATGTCTTGGTTTTCCAAAAAGAGACTTAAAATTTAAAATGAAATTAATGACAAAAAGTCCACAAAGGTCTCAAGCCTCTTCGTATTAATTTCATTTGCCAAAATGATACGTAACGAAAATTAGGTTTTCTTTTTCGAAATATTTGAATTATATGTCGGCTCTCCAAAGAGACATTACCTTAGTTAGATTAACCCAAAGTCGATATGTGGGTCACTTTCACATAGACCATAAGGTTCAAGATGTAGAAATAGCATACATGAACGCTGATGTGAATTAATATGTAGACTAATGGTATCTAATCTAATTAAATCTGACTAAAGAGATCAACAGTCTCAAAAGGAATAGTTTAAGTTTGTCGAACCTCTGGTCGCTTCTAAAGACATTTAAATTAGCTTAGCATCGATAGTTAAAGAGTTTTAAGAAATCGGTCGTTTCTCATCTATAGACCTTAAAACGATTTCATTTCCCATCTGTAATTAGCTTCAAAATCGACTTTCAGCTTCGAAAGGAATAATATTTTTTGATTCCATACTTTTTTTTTTATTTGAAACCTGTTTTAACATACAAAACTACCCGAAAGAAACATTTGAATTACAATAGCCTAAATAGCTAATAACTATCAAAAGTCGAATGGAACTGTGATCGAATTAACTGAAATGCATTTCTGTACAATAACATTGCCTTCGATCTACTTTTCCAGGTAAAAAAAGCAATAAAGCTTAACACAGTTCTTGAAGTTTAATCTTATCTGGCCTTGCTTAGAGCTGGAATTGACTTTATTTCTTGAAATTGAAAGAAGACAACCTTTATTCGCAAAAACGTTTTCCATTCTATTATTACTTTTGCTCTGTTTTTATTTTTATTATTAGCTTTTATTTTTGTCACTTCAGTTAGGGTCTAACGACAGCCCTCTTAAATGTTCGTCATATTAGAATTTTGAATCGATGACGTCTACTTTAACCAATAAAATTTCTACCCTCTCCACGCTAGCATTATTGAACGCGGTGTTTATCTGATAAGTCAAATGGTTAATTTGGCGAACGTTCCAAAGGGCTGTCGTTAGACCCTAACTGACGTGGCTATATTAAACATTATTAATATTTATGATTAAAAACAGAACGGAAGTTTGGTCAAAAGTTGAAAATCATAACGTTTTTTTCGATTTTGGATTATTTTAAACAAAACTTGGGTTGAAACCGACGTGGTTCCGATCTTGGTTTTTATGTGTTTTTTTTGTGCAAATGATATAAGACAATTCAGAGAAATTTTAACTTTTGGAAATAACATAGTTCTGTTGTTTTTTCGAGCACTTTGAAATTTCTTCGTAGAGAGCAAATTTCATGCAAAATCACATACGATGAACTTATATGAACACATTTGTTTGCCCGTTCCACCCATGACTACGGTGATGGTGGACATCTCAGCTGTCCAACTTTTAAAAGTTTGTTCAGTCATAACAAAAAACAAAGGGTTTTGGAAATAAGGCGAACCTTATGCCCATCCAACCTTTAAATTAACACAATTGTCAGTTAGCGTATCTTTTCTTGTCTGGTGAGCCTTTTTCTACACACGGATATCGCGGAGCAGGAAATAAGGCGAACCTTATGCCCATCCATCCCTAAATTAAACAGTTGTCAGTGGGCGTATCTTTTCTTGTCTGGTGAGCTTTTTCTACGCATGGATATCGCGCAGCAGTCGTCTTTCTTCCTCAGGGGGTTACACGTAAACTAGATATGACTTCAGTATATAGTACTTTAACCATCATTTCATTGTACCAGACGTTGGGAATTCAATTACATGTATACCATTATCAAATTGTTATTCTTTATCCTGAACGTTATCAAATATTCCAAGTAAAAATGAATCATATTAACGCCACCTTTTATAGTACTGTCACTATCTATAACAAACAGTCTTGATAAGTTGAGCTGTTATCATTTTATTTTAAAGAACATTATCTGAACAACTTATGATTCATTTCATTATCTTTACCCACAAGAATTAAACATGAACACAACGGAGATACAGACAGACAGAAATGAAATTGACACGAAACAAGTCAATGATGTGCTTTTCTCTTCCTGGGGACCTAAAAAGAAATATTCAATAAGGACTTCATTAATTTAAAGAGAAATAACTTTTGACATTCAACACGTGGGTTTTATTGATAAAAAACCGTTGAATTTCTTGGCATGATGATATGATAATAGATGATAGATATTTAAGTCTAAAATGGATTTTATACCAAGGAGTTGTTTTCCTTGTTTTATACTGTATTTACTTGGAATTGACATGGCTCGGTTAGTTAGACGTTTGCTTGAACGACTCGATAATAGGATAAGATTTTCCCTTCAGAATATTTTTGTGACAATGTTACTCTTTTTTGCAAAATGCATGAAACCTTTAGTACACTTTAGTATCAGTAACCGGAATTTTTGTTTTTATCAGTAATAGTGTTCATAGAACACCGTCTAAATTTGAGCCTTCAAATCCATGTGTGTCCAGAATTATCTGAGTTTGAAAGTTAAAATGACGATTCGTCAATTTAAGATAGTCTGTGATATATAAAAAATACATATATAGAAAAAGTGAGTAAAATTCCTAATTTGAAGTATTTTAAAAGAAATTATGTGCGATTCGGACGTTGGTCCATTTCTCTAATTTGGCGAACCAGAATTGAATAATCGTTAAATTGGTACATATTTTTGGGAGCATTTGAAGTTGAAAAGTGATATATGCGAGTCTGAAAAATATTGCTATAGTAACAATAGTAATAATAAAGTCTTTATTCGATTACATTGTTGATTATAACACAAATTTTGTTTGGCATTTACATTTATTATATTATGATTTACATTAGGCAGGAGATAAATCATACAATGGACGTTGCTCTAAATATTGTGATACTAGAGCATTAGATTCTCCATTTTCAGTTGATTTAGGTCTTGAATAGAAATACTAAAATCGCATAATTCCTTCAAAAATAACCCAAACTAGGAATTTCACTTTCTATTCCTATATATGTCAATCTATATACGGCAGAGTCTCAAGAAAAGACGGGGAGCCGCGGTGGCTCAGTGAGTTAGAAGCTTGCTCGAGATAATACCTTTGGATTTTTCAACCCGGTTTCCCCCTGTCAGTGATGCAGGTACGAGGGGCTACCCGGTTTCCCCCTGTCAGTGATGCAGGTACGAGGGGCTGACATGGAAAAAGCGTCTAGTCGTTCGGATGGGACAATAAACCGAGGCCCCGTGTGCTACAGGCTGTGCACGTTAAAGATCCCTCCACATTTGGAAATCGAAAAAGAGCAGGCTAATGCCGCTGTCCTGGCAAAATTTCCCTCATTGCACCCTGCATGGTGTTGCCCGTCTTCATTAGCCCACATGGTGCAGAAAAGTAGGACGTAAAACTCCATTCATTTCATTTCAAGAAAAGACGAGTCGTCTTTCTAACTTTTAAGCGCAGATAATTTTGACTAAACATGGATGTGAAGCTCAATTTCGACAGTTAGCTGTGAACACTATTACTGATTGGTTAAGCTAAATAATATCCCTTTAAATGGATTCAGGTACGTTAGGTCATGAAAATGAGGAACCCGTCCAATTTTTCAGTTATAATGAACATTGAAACAAGTCCAGAAACATGTAGAGAACTGCACCGGTATTATGAAGTATTTTATTTGAATGTTTTGTATTCCAGGATTTCAGTATCAATGCCTTCGTTATTCAAGAATGGGTTGACCCAAGAATTCAATTTTTCGGTTTGATTGATGCTCCTTATTTAGAACTGGATTCGAAGCTTATAGATGATGTTTGGGTTCCTGATTTATATTTTGCTAATGAAAAGAAAGCTTCCTTTCACACTGTGACAGTACCAAATAAAATGTTACATCTGTACAGCAATGGTCGCGTGGTCTACAGATTAAGGTATTTTCGTTATAATTGTTTATATACGCGCACACATTAATGCGTGTCTGTCTACCCAAAAATATTGCGTGAGTGTTTGTTAACACCAAAGAATGAACCTTATGGAAAATCAGACAAATCGAAAAATATTTAATCAGTTATTGCTTTTGTTCTTGACAAGTTGTTGTGGACACGATAGAGAGTGGTTTCTTCGCAGATTTTGATATTACTTAAGGATTCAATAACAGACAAATAGAACAATATTTGATATGAGCTATTGCCCTTCGTCTTGAAAACCCGTTCAATTTTTTATTTGAAAATGTTTTTTTGGACACGATAAAGGATGAACCCTATTGATATCAGACAAATCGAAAAATATTTGATATGAGTTATTGCCCTTGAACTGTCTAGAAGGCACAATTTGTACGAAACTGAAATTGTATATTAATACCCAAGGATAAATCCAAATGATAACAAAAGAACAAGTCAATCACCAGGACAACTTGGCTACCGTATCACTATGGTCATTGTTATTATTTCTCAATCTATTAAGAGCTAGAAATAAGCAAGCATTTTCCGATTCATGTCCTTCATATAACTTTATTTTTTTATACACAAGGAAAATCTTTAGAAAATGTCAAAAGCCTTGGGGTAATTCATACTAATGTCATCCTTGAAGTGAAATCGTTCCGGATTCTAAGAGGATTCGAACAGGTCTTATTATACAGACTGTATGTGAACAAGTATGGCTTCTATTTGCCTCATTCCGTTTCCTACCTGATATCAGTGGTTCGTGAAATTCTATCAGACTAAATTACAACTTCATTATCGCAGAGACTAGAAAACCTATTTTGAATCAATTTTGATAAGAATGTTTATTTTGAAAGAGATATTCATATGGTGATATATCCTTATTATATTTCAATGATATGCGAAATACTAGCATGTTTCATTAGTATAGATATGTACAGACAACTAAACAATAACATAAAAAAAACATCTTTTCATTTCAAATAGAAAGTACATTCCGTCTAATTAATTTAAATGGAAACACAATCGATAAAGTCACATCAAAGTGAGATAAACAAACACCATTTATTCTAGGTGATTAATAAGCCGTATTGTCACACTTGAATTTTCTTTTCAGAGTATCCTTAACAGCAACTTGTCCAATGCAGCTTCAAAGTTATCCAATGGATGCACAAGTTTGTTCTCTTTACATTCAGAGTTGTAAGTAACAATCACCAGTATCAATTCTGTCAAATAAAGATGTGACTGTTTTGGAAATTTCAATTTATCGTGATGACATCTTAGCCAAGGTTTTATTAGTAATTGCCAGCGAATTTCGCTTAAAACATATTGAAACTTATGTAATTGCCATTCAACAGACTCGATTCATACCATTCCAAATTTCGCTCATACTATCTCCAGATAGTTAATCCATACATATCCCATAATATGTGATCTACACAACGGTGACAACTTGGCCATTACTGGGAATCGAAATTTTGGGCTTGCAAGATTCAACAGTCTGCTTCAACCCGGGGTATGTTCACCCTGAGGGTGTAGCTAACTATTGTAGGAGAAGGATTTTTCTTTGTTATCTATAAGGCTTAAGGACTTCTGATAAATGTTTTTCAATAGATGTAATGTAACAGCCAACAAAGCCTGGGTGTTTTGGGGTGTGAGGACTTTAAATGATTGATCTGAGGGGTGTAGGGACTGAAAGAGGTTGAGAACGACTGCCTTAAACACAATATTTAAAACAAAACATATCATGTCGGAAAACAAAAGGGGGTTAGTTTTACCTTTCAGTTGCCTATTCCACAAACAGCTTACAATTCAGTTGGAGAGAGAAGGATCCCATCCGGCAAAATAAATTCATGGAACTGCCTCAGTTTGAGTTAAAGAATATTCAGCATAAAAATTGTTCTGAAGATAGAGATCAAGGTGAGTTCTTTTCAAAATTGACAAAAAAAAAATTATGGGAGCAAGACGGAATTTGTTTCATATTTACAAGTTATGTGAAAACATGTAATTGTAATATGAAATTACCTTTATCTAATAACTAGGGCCCTTACATTTCAATTTGAACCAACCAAATCTTCTAGAATAACATTCCTCTGATGACATACCATGACTGGTTTCCTTTTTAGAGTGTTTTGTATAAAATTTATAACAAATTGTATTTTGTTACGTCAGGTAGTACAAACAATTGATATTTCAAATTTAACGAATGGAGTTTTGCGCCTGATTGGACACGGCGAAGAGAAATTTTGCCAACTTCGTGTCAAGGAAGCTTGAACTTTCAAAAGGCTGTGACCTTAATATGTTTTACAAACTAGAAAATTACTCACAAATTCATTTTTTCTTTTACTCAAACACTCCAATTCTTAGGAGGCTTAATGTTTCTAGAAACGTTCATACTTCAGATAAATGTTTTAAACTTATTCATAATTACTTAAAAGTAGAAGAAAAATAAAAACTTCATCTGGTTGCCAAGACAAATAATATATTTTGTATTGTCAAACAGTAATAGAATTTTTTATGCGAATTTGATTTTAGAAGATTGAGTATAATACTTGGCATTAAGATATGTCCACCTTCGAGTTTTTACAAATTTTATGACAGTTCTATACGGCGATCTCGGCTTGTAACGGTTATCCAATCCAGATACCCACCAATATAATCATGGGATAGCCTATCCACTATATCTTAATTTCCGTTGCCATTAAGTAGGCACAGCATAAAAACTAGGGCCCAAATGCCCAAGGTAATATCTAAGTACTCTATAAAAAAAACTTATAAAGTTTTTATTTGCATTTGTGATATTGATAAGTAATCTTCATTCGCCGAAAATATCACAGATTAATTAAACGTCAGGACGTAGTAATATTTATAACAAAAGAATTTTCTCAATTGTCAATTTCGGAATCTAAATTAATTTCCTTACAAAATTCTACGTTTGTCTGGTTTCGTCGTACAAATGGAAATATTATCTTATTGGACGTGTAAAAAGCTTATCTCGTAGGCGAGGTTCTGTAGCCCAGTCAGTTAGTTACGTCGAACAAACTTAATGGTGGTTGCGGGTTTTAATCTTGATCGGCGTGGGAAAAAATCTTGAAAAGTCATCTTCACTCATAATTCCAGTCAACAGCTGTAAATGATACGGATTATCCGTGAAAGATCAAGGCCAAAAGGTTTGACCAAGATCCAGCTGGTAGACCGTCTTTGACTGTATCCATAAAAAGTTTATTTTAAAAAAAATGTAGACTTGAGTCCAATTCAATTTCAATTTCAAATTTCCAAATCCTACGTCGTATTGAGCACAATATGGCTACTGAAATTTTCCAGATCCAGTTAATGACAGATCTCTTGAATTTTAAATTAGGACAAATCGGGTTTCACTTGAGAGCTGAGAGCTACACTTAGCTAATAAAATATATTATTTTTCCAAGGGGGTTATTCGACGTCTATATACTTTCACACAATCTTGAGATGATTCTGAAAATCAGATTATTCAATCAAGAAAATTTATATATATTTAAAAATTAAGTATCCTTGACAATAACTTTAAGAGTGTACACAATTTGAATAGAATAAGCTTTACTATATAATACAATTATTACTTTTAGCATAAACTAGATAAAGGCACAAATTAGATGAATACTAACAAATTGAAGGCAGAAACCAGCTGAAGTTACACGTTATGGGTATATGCTTTCTACTGTCCATGAGGATTTATTAATTTCAATCTAACCATCTATGTAAATGGTATTCGTTAATATCTGATTCGAACTTTTTTTCTTCTCAGTGATGCAGTTCGGAAGGACTGACATAGAAAGATCTCTTAGGTAGATCTGATTCAGTAAAGCGTAGTGTAAAATAGTTTACACTGAGATATGACGCACATTTGCAAAAGTTCTTCATGTCTCGCAAGAATATCCCGGCTTGTAACGGTTGGCATTCCATACAGTGGCGTCTCTACAGGGAGGAGGGGCAGGGAGGAGGGGCATTGTCTCCCAGAAAAGAGGCTGGCCCGACTTTGCCCCTCCCCCACTTCCATTTTTGTTTTCATCATTTTATATAGTGAATGAACAGTCTGTGGCCCCCATGGAAAATTTTGTGGTTCAAGCTTGGCCCCCTCACCTGATGTTTCCCAGAAACGCCACTGATTTCAAATCCAACGAAGCGTTGTCTTACGCCTATTTCATTTTCTAACGTAGCCCATGGCAGTTCTTACTGTATGCAAAAACTACAAACTTGCGTCAAAAGTAAATCTGCTTTGTAAAATGCCTTAAAAGTATACGTGTACCATTTTGATTTTTGAATATATATAAATATTCTTCAGAAGTACCAGAAATGTACGAAAATCACATAATTACTTTGAAAATATCTCAGACTAGGTTTCCTATCCAATTTCTATAGGTTTTTTTCTATATATGGCAGTGTCTTTAAAAAATATGACTCGTCTTTTCTACTTTCAAACACGCATAATTCTGGACACACATGGATTTGAAGACGGTTAATATTGTAAGCTGTGAACACTATTACTGATTGGCTTAGCTATAAAATTACATCCTCTTTTTGAGACTTAAATATGATTGGTCAAAATAAATATTGCCTCTGTCCCTTTAAGTTAACATTGAAACACTCAATCAAAAAATTTTCATTTTTATAAAGTATATTTTAATAACCATTAACCATTGAGATAAAATTTGTTGAATTCTGATAATAACGGAGCCCAGACTCTTATGACAATTTGATTTAATATCTAAAATGTTTCACTCAACATAGACACATAGAAAATTCATTCTCACTTCTTTGACAGAAGTTGACATAGAATTTTAATAAATCATTCCAGACAACAACTACACAAGACAGTTAAATTATACCAGTTTTTGTCCAAGTGTCTTCAGAGATTTAATTCAGTGGAATTTACATTGATATAAAATCAATCATGTAATTTTCTTTGGTAGATCTTATCAAATGGTTTAACCAATTTTCTAACTTTTTACAGTAGATATTAGATCTGCCTCTCTGAACCCTTCCTCGTTTACTTGAACACTAATACAAGAGTCTATAAATGCAACATCAGTTATTCGGAAAGAAAGAAAGATTTTACAGTTCATAAATGATCCTTTCTACCAGCTGATCCTTGGCCAAACCTCTTGGCATTGGTCTTTCCCGAATTATCGGTACCCTTTTACAGCTTTGACTGGAATTGTGAGGATGACGTCTTCAAGTTCATAGGACTTTTACAAACGAGTTTAAAACCCAGAGCCACTATTTGCAACTGACGTCATGTAAAAAAAAAAACAAGGCTCTAGCTAAACTTAAAGTTTTCAGAGTTGACAACCCCTATCCCGCAGTGGCATTATATATTCCGAGTAGGTGTAGATGAAATATCTCATTAGGAGACAGTTATTGTGATTCTCATATTTGAGACATCAATATGAATCATAAGATATTTGAAAATCAAGTTTCAGAAGTTAAAGCTGAAATTCAAAGTATTGCCAGAATATAATTTGATTGATGATTCGCGAAGTGATCAAAGGGATTCAAAAGCAGACAAACCTGCATTGAATTTGGATTAAGCTCATTTTCTTCTAACATAGTTCTAGTAATAAAAGAAATCAATGAAGAAAATTCGTGTCAGAAAGTTAAGATAGAGACTTTACTCTTTGTCTCTCTCTATAACAATTGTGTTGATATCAGGGCAATATTTTGTTGGTCGTGTAATCTTAATATAACATTAAAGGGTTTTAATCCCACTGTTCTGTGTGTTTAATCAGAGGTTGACATGTAACATCCAAGGAATTGCTTTTTACATTTCAACTAGTTGACTCTCTGTCTGTCAAACCGCTAAGACATGGTTGAGATAGTTCCGTTCAATTCGGTTTCTTATTGCTAATGATGTCGGCGGAGGTACCTAATGGAAAAACCATAAAGAGATTCGGATGGGACAATAAATCGAGGCACAGTCTATGTACATTAAATAGCCCGTGGTCACTTGGTAGTAAAATAAAATAAGGCCACACCTTCTGCTCTGACACAACATTCATGGTCACAATTCGATTAGCAAGTTGATAAAGCGACACTTTTTGTACATTATCCCTTTCAAGTTAATAAAATTATAATTCTCCCTTGTCACAATTTGCAACAGCAAACCGATAAAACGATATATTTCTACTTATTCATATTGGAGCTAAAAATCGGGAAATAAATTCGATGCTGTCAACAACCCATAATGCAGTTTCCTCTTTTAATATCATTCTCATCACATCATCGATTTGTGATTAACAATTTGGCCCCAGTTAATCTAGCAATAATACCCTTGATTAATTTCTCAATATATCTAAACCTGTCCTAGTGCTGATCGACCAATATTCTATTCTCCGAGTAATAACAACACTGACAACAACAGTATTGTAGTACGATATTGGTAGTGTACAAACGTGAGAATTATGGTAATGATCGACATAACTCTTCTTAATTGGTACCGGTGACAATGAAATTGTATTCAGCAAGACCATCTTATAGTATTTCCTGGATTACGAAACCTCACTAAGGTCTCTTTAAGTAGTAACTCTTCAGAATTCTTAATAACCAGCCGAATACTTAATTAAATAGTTCGCAACAGAATGTTTTGAAATATGGAAGTGTAATCTAAGAATTTATGGTCTTTCAAGTTTTACTTCTTAAAATTTTGAATATTTATGGGTCTTCAAGGGGTTAGACAAGGTCTTTAAATATCTCGACACCATCGTCCTGGTGTGACAGGGATTTAACAGTATTTTTCTCTAGCACTTGCATGAGTATAGAGAACACTTATTGTTATTAATATGTACAATTTTCTGTTCGACGTCTGTGGTTCCAGCAATTCAAGAAAAACACTTATCAATTTGTGACTAGTTTATTGCAAGTGATTATTTGTCTGAATAAGTCTTATTTTGGAATATCGGGAACTATAGAAGACAGGTGGTAATCGACATTTCGAAATGCATCAAAAAGCTCGAAAACTTCTCCCAAATAATATTTAATGTGCTAACTTGCCGGTTCTCAAGAAATTTACCTTGACTAAGCTTTAATGCTGGAGTCATTTACTCTGATTGTTGTGTTCATAGTATTTTTCTTCTTCTTCAGGAAATTTCACATGTATTGCAGTCGACTTTTACCTCCAAAGGAACATTGGATTTTATATGATACAGATTTATGTACCTAGCATGTTAGTTGTGCTTCTTTCTTGGGTTTCCTTCTGGTTAAATGTAGACGCTGTTCCGGCTAGGATTTCATTGGGCATTCTAACAGTTTTAACTATGACTACACAGAAATCTATGGCGGTATCTTCTCTACCCAAAGTGTCTTATATTAAAGCTATAGATGTATGGATGGCCGCGTGTTTAAGCTTTGTGTTTGTGGTATTGTTGGAATTTGCTCTAGTCAACGTATTGGATCGACGACAAATCAAGAAGCCGTCTAAATATAATGCTGTTGCTGAAGGCGAAGAAAAAATGCAATTACAGGTAACAACTACATTCTGGTCAAATATTTTTATAGATCTGCGAGCTTATTTCGTATATTCCAATTTAAAGCGTCCATACTTGTAGCGCATCTTGGAATATTCGGATAAAATTACCACAAAATGTCAGGTTTGTGGGAAAAAACCGAGACATGAATGATTCTTGGTTTTTCTGATAGAGTATAGTTAGGAGGGAATTTTTCTGGAGTCCACCTAACTATACACTATCAGAAAAACCAAATATCATTCATGTCTCGGATTTTCCCCATAAATATGATAGTTCTGTCCGACTAGGGTCCTTTATTTGTGATGTTTCCATACAATTATTGTTTCAAGGTATACGTCAAACAGAAATAATTCAAGGCAATGTTTTCAATACACTTTGTGTAACCCTTTCCTATATTTAGATGCCCTTGATACAACCTCGCCAGAAGCGAGAGAATTCCGTAATGAACCATTAAAAAAATGTCAGAGGTATATTATGACGTATCAATCGCTGATATTTTAAAACATTAATTTTACATTTTTAAACGGGTATTTCTCCTGTTGGAAACCTCTATTCTATCCAACTGGGTCTGACATCTGGGGTTCCTGTATTTCTGCAACAGCCAAACCAGATCATGATAGCGAGTCTTAGCCTTTAATTTGATATTGAGGTCAACCTGGAATTACAACAATGTCAGTAACAAAATATGCATGGAGCAAGGCAGATTTTCTTTTTCATTAAGCCATTATTAAAAAGCTTTTACCTAATTACTTATCTTTACAGAACGCTATTATCAAATAACAGACCGTACCTGTCATTCAATTCGTGTTTAAAGCCTCCTAACAGGAAACTTCCCACTCTCATAATGTGTTTTAATTTATTTTACTAATTGCCCATTACATGAATTATAATTCACATGATTTTATTTTTCATTGCAGAATGATCACGTATCCGCTACTGTTGAAAAGTATATGACAGATCCATTAGGAAGACAGAAAGCAACAAGAGTTGATCAGATCTCTCGTCTATTCTTCCCATTCTCCTTTATAATATTCAACATCGGTTATTGGTTATATTATATTTTCTGATTGAATAACTTTTGAATTAAGTCATTTTTAAAAAAATATATATTATCTATAATCGAAATGTTATAAATTGTCGAAGTTCGAATCATTTCCGTTAATGTTAGACAAAACCTCAGTGAAAATTAATGAGTAAATAAGAAAAAACCAGAGTTACAGTAAAAAACACTTCGAGGGGAAATGAAGTGAGCACTCAACACATGGAGCGAGAATAGCCCAATCGGGATTGTATTAGTTTAGGCTTTCATGTGGAAATAGGGGTCATATTGGTCAACAATTCAAGTAATAATAGTCAACACCTCAATTTTAAATAACGCAATCATGGTTATATTAGAAAAACCTAAATTGTAAATGACAGTCGTGGTTATAGTATTCAACACCTCAATTGTAAACAACGCAATCGTGTTCATATATGTCAAGACCTCAGATAAAAATGACGAAACACGGTCAAATCATTCAAAAATCAATTGTAAATTATATTATCAATTGTAAATAACGCAATCATATTTATGTAAGTCAACACCTCAGATGACAATAACACAACCGTAGTTATATTAGTCAAATTCTCTATTGTAAATAACTCAATCATGGTTATATATGTCAAAACTTCAGATGTTTATAACACAAACATGGTTATACTAGTCAACAAAATTAATTGTAAATGACGCAGTCGTGGTTATAAGTCAACACCCCAGATGAAAATAACACAATCGTTGGTTATATGCGTCAAAACCTCAAATGTATATAACGCAATCATTGTTAGTTAGTCACCACCTCAGATGAAAATAACTTATTCGTGGTAAATTGTAAACGACGCAGTCGTGGTTAGGTAAACACTTCAGTTGTAAATAACGCAATCGTGTTTATATAAGTCAACACCCCTAGATGAAAATAACACAATCGTGTGTTATACGAGGCAAAACCTCAAATGTATATAACGCAATTATTGTTAGTCAAAACCTCTGAGAGAAAATAACTAAAACGGTATTATGTCAGTCTAACTGATTTCTATCAGGCTTATATTTTTAACCATGACAAAGAAAAATGTCAGATCTCCAGATAATAGCTTCGAAAAAAATGTTATAATGAATTGAATTAAGTTTCAAATGGTTTTGTGGATTTTCGATGGATTGTGTTCATTATCAATTAACAGTCGTGATTAGGCATGTCTCTGGTGGCGTGGTCTAGATTTACTCGAATATATAGACTAATTATAGAATACAGTGTTTAGACAGTATACGATTGAAAATTACCACGCAGGAAAAATGCAACTTCACCTAATTAAAGACCACATCCTCGAAAGAAAAGGCACCAACTCACCAATTTCATTGAACATTGCTTTGAACATTGCCTTTTAGAATTGAGTATATTTTGGGAATATCCTTTGAATGATCCCAAAGAGTAAATAATTCCAATGTACAGAGGACTTTACATTATTGTGCTGCAGGAAGATACATTTAAATGACTTTTATTTTTTCTGATGGTGATTGCTCGGAAGGTAATGGTTCGAATATACTGTATTCGCACTATAGCAGAATCGTAGAATTTTAATGCAGAATATAGAATATTTAACACACTTTTTTATTGCCACATAAGAAATATGCAGTTCTTGGTGTATTTTCACAAAACTTAGCTAAACTGTTTCTTCAGTTCTACACGATTGTGGGCACGTTTCCACGACTCGTACACTGTTCTTGAGGAGTTCGGTAGTCTCTTACCAACTACGAAAATGCAAAAGTTCCCTTTCTCTACAGTTATTAGTAATAGATTTGAAAAGTCCGACAGTCTATTGACAATAGTAGTAATACTGAAATGATCGCCAAATGTCCAACAATTAAGATCCCTTGAAACTAAACGGTCCATATAGATAGCTTTACCTTTCCTATTGTAATAATATTGTACAACAATCATTATTATGAGCACTATTTGTAAATACACTGTTACTGTGCACTCTACATATTTATTATTATGTAAATTCAAAATAAAAGGATCAATTTGTATAATAACGTGATTTTTTTAAAAGCATTATACCCCTTGGAGGCCAAAATGGAGACCCTCTTACATTCCTATGTTTCGTTTGCTACGTGACAAATAGCAAAAATCAATACAGACGCCAAAGACCATTGAAATTTCTTAGACCCATTCGCGGTTTTGTCAGACGAAAGACATGATATAGAATGGTTATTCTTTTTCCATTGTAGACGCCAACGATACTGCTTAGATACGTTCTCAGTTTTAAAAACTAAAAACTGAAAGTTTTTAATGCATATGTAAAGAATGGATATCCTTTTCCCATTTAATATTCTAACGAGCATGAAAATATTTGTTTTTATAAACTGATAGAGGATAGAGGGAATAGTAACTTACTCTTTTAAAGTCAAAGGTGTGCCATTTTGGGGGGGTTGATTAAAGTCCTGAATATATGTAAATAGTCTTCAGAAGTACTAGAAATGTAAGAAAATCGCATAATTCCTTTAAAAATACTTCAAATAAGACATTTTACTCAATATATCTATATATGTCTTTTCTATATATCACATAGTATCTTATCTTGACGAGTGTCATTTTAACATTTAATTGATTTGAAGGCTAAAATTTGACGGTGATTTGTGAACACTATTACTTAGCTAAAAAAAAATCCGTTTCTGAGACTAAAGTATGATTGGTCCAAAAATTGCGCATCAGATCAAACGTTTTCAAATCCGCATGGAACATCAATAATAGGCAATAATATACGAAAAGGACAAGAAATGTTTATCTTTTGACTCAAATAGGATTAGGATTTAAAATGTTGCTGCAATTTTGCTTGGTCATGAAATTAATACAGAAATCAAATGTCCTTTTAGATATGATCAATGCAGCACTGGCCCTCACTAGAGTTTCCGTTTCGTTTTAAGGGCATAAGATATGTAGAAATTGACTTTCATTTACACCGATTGAATCATGCACTTTATTTACACCGATTGAATCATGCATTTTAATATTTACACCGATTGAATGATGCATTTTAATATTTACACCGATTGAATCATGCATTTTAATATTTACACCGATTGAAATATGTATTTTAATATTGAAACATGCATTTTATTATTTACACCGATTTGATCATGCATTTTATTATTTACACCGATTGAATCATGCATTTTAATATTTACACCGATTGAATCATGCATTTTAATATTTACACCGATTGAATCATGCATTTTAATATTTACACCGATTGAAATATGTATTTTAATATTGAAACATGCATTTTATTATTTACACCGATTGAATCATGCATTTTATTATTTTCACCGATTGGATCATGCATTTTGTTATTTACACCGATTGAATCATGCATTTTAATATTTACACCAATTGAATCATGCATTTTAATATTTACACCGATTGAATCAGTTTTTTAAATGATGCCCATATGAGGTAAGGTAAATAATGTCGATGCCTGAAATTAGAATGTTAAACTGAGATTTTATCTTCTTAGATAAAATAATATGGCATCTAGAAAGAAGAAATCTGCGACTTTCAAGATGTTCCCTGTGGTTTTTACAATGACCCATGTGTATCACATCACAGGAGACATTCATCTTTTAACAATGTTAATTCCCAGACCATATACTTCAGTGTTGATGTGCTTAATGAAAAATAATGTGTCTACAGTTAGCTAATAAATATCGCTATTGTATAATGTTTATTGTAAACATTACCTTGTTACAGTATTCGCTACAGACGGTTGTTAAATGTTATTTACTAACTGATATTCCACCTAACTTACTAATGTGTTATCTGTTTCCACCTACATAATGTGTCGAGGACAACTTCCTTCTTCTTATCCATACTTTCAGACTTATTTAAGAAGACTAATATGACTTCTGTTAATAGTGATGTCTATGGTAAAGACGGTTACCGTTTTAAGTCTGAAAGCATTTTGATGATCACCTAACTAACTGACTTAGAGACAAAAAGATTTTTGTTCCATAGAAAAAGGACCGTAATACGGCCCTGCATATTTTATGC